TATTCAATAGCTTGAAATTCGATGATCCATAAACAACTTTTATTAAGTTACTACACTTTTAAAGATCAATCCTTTAAATCATAAAATTATATTTTACCTCAACATAAAAAATAAAAAATAAACATTTACTTAAATCTTGCATACGCAACATTTATTCAAACAATCATTAAAATAACATTTACCAAAACATGCATTCAAACTTGTATCAAGGACCTAGCCACCTATATGTACCTTGATCAGAACAATTAAGGTATGACTACTACACTACCTCGATCAAGGGAATCCTCCTACACAATAAAATAACCTTAATTAATATAAGGTTTAACAAAACAACACAAAATAATACTCTACTTGTGCATGAACCACCTAGATATTAACCTTTATAAAATCAAGTCTTGTTTATTTTTAAAATAGCAAATTATATATTTTATCATCAAAATAACAATCTTAGTATCATAATAGTGTTGTTAGTACCAAAAATTGATATAAATAATCATAATATGATTAATAATATAAGTAAAAGAGAAGTATATATTTTTTTTTTATCAACTAGGTGCATGCGGCAATAGGTGAAAGAAAGAAGGTGTTGTTCGCACCTTCTGGCAGCAGCTCAAGGCAACGGCTTCCGACAGATTATTGGCGACAATTGGGTGGTTGCTGGCGACAAGGATGGTGGCAGCAGTGGTGGTTGTTCGGTGGGCAGCACTTGGTGTTTATTTAAGTTAGGAGGAGGAAGAAGTAGAGGAAGAAGAAGGCGTGAGTTAGGGAGTTGAGAAGAGGATTTTCTGATTTTTTTTTTTTTTTTTTTTTTTTTGGTGTGAATGAATGAAGGGGATTAAGGGTCTATTTATAGGTCATTAAGGGTGGAAAAGATAGAGTTCAAAAGAGTGTATAATTAAGATAAGTTTGGTGAGTTAAGTGAATTTGAATGCAATTTAGCCTAGGTTAATTTATGTGGGAAATTAAATCAAAAGATGAGGAGAGAAATAGGATAAGTGTTGATTTGGTTGAAGATCAAGATTATCTAGAATTTAGCTACTTAAGGCTTAAGGAAAAATAAAATACTATCATCCTCAATATTGTACGTGGAATCTCTCTTTTTTTAAAAAAAATAAATATATATATATATACGAAAATCATTAAGAAAATAATTAGTTTGATAATTAAATTGGTTAATCATTAAAATACAACTATAAAATATCTTAGATAATATCAAAATCTAAATTAGTTGTAAATCATAAGATAATTAAGCTAAGGTTGTTGTTAAGTATTTTTAAGATAAAATCCGGAAAATAATATAGTTAAGTTCGGAACGACGTACATTAATTAAAATATGGACCGACCAAGATCATAATTTAATTTAGAAATATGAAAATATTTAATTTGTTCGAAAGATTTTGGCGCCAAAATTTAAAATTTATTTTGGCTCCAAATTTGAAGAAATTTCTAATTAAGAAAGTATATCCAAAAATTAGGAGTATTACAGTTTCTAACACCGAGGGATAGGATTTGCGGCGTATTCTGCCTTTAAGGTGTTTTTGACATCGAGGTAGATTAAAAAGGATTCAACATTTAATTTATGTGGTCACTAATTATTCAAGAATTAAATTGGTATGTTTGATTGCTTGAATGATTTACAATGTTTGATTGTGCTGTGGTTTGAGAGTCATCACCAAGTGTAATGATTTGTAAACAACGTAAAGTGAAAGAGATTACACACCAAAACTCTTGGAACGTATATACCTTGAGTATGAACATATGGGGGGAGTTATGCGACTTTATATTTGACCATAACTTCTACTGGGAGTACAGGACGCTGTATTTTCCTTTTATTTATTTTATGCGCAGGACGTCCAATCACTTTATGTGACATTTGCCTACCCGGTTAGCTCCCGGTGTAGTTTACCAATTTATTTGAGGCAGGGATTTGGTTGGAAACCCGTTCGATGTGTAATTAAAATTAAAAGAACATTGGTATTGGTCTAGTTAGGTATTGAATGTTTTGTATGCTTGTAAACAGGTGCAACACAGTAAGTTGTGTGATGGTAGGATGAAAGCATGTTATTAGTGTGTTTTATTACGGTTATGTACTCAGCATTGCTGATCGTGTGTTTGTATGTTTGTTTGGCCTTGTCTTTACCTTGGCCCTACGACAACCCATTTCTAATGGCAAGTAGTGGGGACAAATAGAGAGAAGCTTTTCAGGTGATGAAGCATTTTCATGAAGGGCATGAGTGAAGAGCGAATCATGCTTAGTTCTCATAAGAATATGATCTGTTTTATTTGCTTTGAATATTATTTATTTCATTCTGTTCATGAGACTAACACAAAGGTTTTAATATCGTTTGGTTTTAAGGGCCTACAATAGTTCCAAGTTGTAGGTTGACTTTGTTTGACTTTACTTTCGTTTGGTTTGACTTTTTAAGTTGACTTGTTTTAAATGGTTTTAAAGGTAGTCTTCCGCCATGTGTGATTCTTTGATATTTTCCTTAGCTGTTTTCACGGTGGCGATAATGTCTTAGATTTTCCTATTTCGTATTTTTAAAAGGGCAAAATAGGTATTTTAACAAAAAGGAATTTCTAGGGTGTTAAAATGTGTGCTAGGATTAAAATCTTGAATTCTAGACATTTAACCTTTGCTGCTAGATTGACCTTGATTAACTTAGTTTTATTAAGTATTCAAGTCTATTGGGCTCAGATTATGGTGCTTCCTAAGTTTTATCAATGAAATCTACAGGAATTATCTTTGGCATAGTGATTTGGGTAGAAGACTAGGGTATGTTGCGTATGATATGATCTGCAAAAGGAAGAAGGAAGGAGGGCTAGGAGATATGAATGCTGAAGACTGGAACACTGCAACTCTGGGAAAACATGTTAAGACTCTTGCTCAGAAGCAGGATAACCTGTGAGTTAAATGGGTAAATGATGTTCACTTGAAGAACTAGAACTAGATAGATTATCAACCTAAAGCTGATTATTGTTGGTATTGGAAGAAAATCTGCAGAGTTAAGGATAGGCTGAAGGGTGTTTTAATTAGATCTTGCTCAAATAGGGTAGGGAATATATAAAATCAGTAAGTTTTACAAGCTTTTGAGATTTGAGCTTCCAAACTACAACTGAGATAGATTTCTCCATTAAAGCTGGATCTTTCTTTACTTATGAGATTCTTCATTAATGATAAAGCAAGTAAAAAGTCTAGGGAAATTCAAAATGGTGCTCTTGAATTTTTTATTTTTCTCAATGGTAAACAACAAAAAATCAAATTATCTTCGGTAATTAACAATTTGTGTTATTTATTCAGTGGTGACATTAATGAGATTAATCTATAATTAATATCCTAACCATAATTAACTAAAGGTGAAATGACTTATATATCCTTGAAAATCAAATTTTTCTTTATTTTTTTGACAATTAAATTATTTTTAAAAAAATTAAAAAAAAAACCACCAGCCACCACACTTTCCCACAGCCACCCAACCGCCAGCCATCACCCACGCCCGCCGATCCCCCTTCCCCCGGCACCGGACGCGCTCATACCCTCCCACGCCGACGCCGTGCGAACCACCAACCCCCTCCCTACCCCGTCGAAACTCTAAACCTATAAAAACCATCCCCAACCCTCGAAAAACCCTAACAATCCCCAATCGGAACCCTTGGCGCCGATCATCGATTCCATTTCACCCAATTTACCCCAAATTTCCTCAATTACAACAACAATGAGCCCACTAACAATGGTGTCGGAAAACCCTAAACCCCAAATGTTACGTGCGACAAAACCCCCGACGAACAACCAGAAGCAAATCGTCGAAAACCATTGAACCAGAAATCCGTTGCAGTCGAGATACGCTGGCAAAAATTGATGTTGAACCGGAAATTTCGTTAGCCTAGTTTGATCATCATCTAAACCTAGGGGCTAAGGCTATTGTTAAGCCTTTTGGTGAGGTAGGGCCTAGCTTGGAGTTGGAATTCCGCCGCCTCGAAGTTGTCAAGGCCTAGATTGGTGTGCCGGACAGAAGCAAGGAGTCGGGGCTGGGCTAGCAAGGGGTAGCGGGGAAAGAAGTAGATGGTGGTTTTTTTTTCAATGGGGGTATTTTAGGCATTTCACTTTTTCGCCCTTTTAAAACATTAACCATGGTTAATATTTCCTTAAATTGTTTAACTAATGTTACCACTTAATTGTTTTTGGAAATTATTGATTATCAAAGATAATTAGATATTTTAGTGCTTAACATTGAGAAAAAATTAAACATGATGAGTACCATTGAAAATTTCCTATAATGATAGCAAAGATGGAAAAACTAAACAATTTTCTCTAATAATAGTGAAGCAAACAAGAAAAAGAAAGTAAAAATTTGTAATACTTGTTGTATGAAGTTCTCCATTAATGGCCTTCGTCTTTCTCTCTCTTATGCAAGAAGACCCCAACAAGTTTTACTGAATAAAAGTACGGATACTTTCAATTGCCTTACCTCACCTTGAGTTAGAGTGATAATGGCACTAATGATGGCTAGTAAAAAAGTTGTTCGCTCCGTCAAATGCCTTTTAGCATACTAGCTTGACAATTGCCTTAAAAAATAATTTTTCTCTATGATTCCGCAGATTCTAAGATTTTTTATATTACAATTATGCCTCTTGATAAATATTTGATGTTGATCACTTGGATTTCCTCATAAATTTAGTACTTCCTCCATGTTTTAATAAGTGTTACAGTTTAACCAAACATGTATGTCGAAACACGACTTTGACCATTAATTTATCTAATTATATGTTAATAAAATCATAGGAAATTTTATTATATGAAAGTATACATTATAATGAATCCAACAATGTCTTATACAATAACAATTGTTTTTAATATATTAGTAAAATATCCAAGTCAAAGTCATAATATAAATAGTAAAAAAAAGTTAAATTATAACACTTATTAAAACACGGAGGGAGTATTTATGTCTTTCTGAGATTAAAAGTCAATCTCCACCTACTATGCATGTAGTAAAAATCCTTTGGATTCCAATATTTTGATTGATAATTACTGCCACATGTCACATAATGATTAGCTTTTACAAAAATAAAAATCCTTATCCACCATCTCTCGCTTTTCTCCATTCCCACCCCATTCCCCACTTTCCACCACTCACTGCCAAAAGCCCATTCATTCTCTACTCTATTTTTTTTTTTTGTTTGTTTTTTTCTCTCTTTACTTGCAATTATGTATTCATGATCTTGAAATTTCACCATGCTCGTAAGTCTTGTATACAACTTACTAAACTTTGTTTGTTAATTTGAATCTCTAGCTTATCTAATGTATTATGATACTAGCATTTTGGACTAGCCTTAAAAAGTTTAACCATTTGATTGGGATTAATACTATATATAATTGTGTTTGGGCTTTGATCTTTTGATGCCTCTCCATTAAGAACCTATAATGTTATGGCTAAAGATGCATTGTTTTGTTTTTGTCTCTTGTTAAATAGATGGGCTGCGCGGTGGTCAGAAAGAGAATGGGTGGTGATCGTCGATTATTGGTTATGTTGATGGCAAAGGAGGAAGGGCTAGGCCGAGTAAAATACTTCCTTCATTTTTCTTAAAATGCATTACTTTCTAAATGAGGATGTTTCAAATTAAATTCATTATCATCCTTTTTAATTAATAAATTCTCTCAATATATCTTTCATGTTATATAATATTTGCCTTTTTTTTTTATTTTATTTTTTATTATTTCGTATGACACACCTATCATACAATACTAATCTAACATGTCTAATTTAGCTCTTTTAAGTGGGGCCGCAACGGCGGGATAATTGATGGGATATACAAGTATATTATTTTTAAACTAGGCAATCGTATTTTAGTACGTAGTATATAATTATTGATGATTACTTAAATCATTCTCATACATCTAATCCAAAATTTGGGCTAGAAATTAAATTAGAATTTAGGCGCACCTGTATTTTGGATTTCCCTCCTATCTTTTCATCTTATTTTCCCCGATCTAAGACACTATAGGCATATAACTCATTCCAGTTTTCCTCTATAGCGGATCTTGATTTGAATTAATAAATCATAGTTAACCTTACAATCCGTCTTTTCCTTCTCCTCGTAACACATTTTTATTCCGAAGAGATTTGTTTTCATACGTAACAAAAATGGTGGTGTTGAGGCTAAGTGTGGCCGTATTTGTTCTGCTAACATTCGTGCCGTTGTGTGTTTACTCACAATCACCCTCTCAACTTTGGGTGGACATCACACTGGTGAAAAGTACTATTGCCAAAGATCTTGGAGCATGTAAGTTTTTAACTAACAAATAACTCTTAAAATTACGTGACTACTTTAATTTTTTATTTAAAATAGTGAAATAATTTATATTATTTGGTTGAAGATTGCTTGGATGGGAGTTTACCTGCATATCATTTCAGCAAAGGATTCGGTTCTGGAGCAAACAATTGGCTTTTGCACATTGAGGTAATTCTTAATAATGGTACTCTTAAGTCTAGAATAGTTAATTTTGTCAATTTGCCTTTAATTATGTGTTAGAGATTTAAGAGTAATTAGAACAAATTTTAGTTACATGTTTATACGGTAGTTGAAAATTTATACGAGTAGCTTATAGTTGAGAATCTTCAGAATGATTTTTTAATGTACAACTGATTGTACTTTGTTCATGGTAAGCAAAAAATAACTGTTAGACATTATTTTTTTTTGGTGTTTAGAGAGCCACAAGGGCGGGGGCGAGAATCGATCCCAAGATCTCCTAGAATCGGGAGGGAAGCTCTAACCACTTGAGCTATCCCTCACTCTCATAACTGTTAGACATTATAGATAGATAATATTTGTCATAGATTTGAGATTTTGGATATATTTTGGATATAGTTTGTATCCCTGATTCCTGTCATACTAGGTTTCCTAACTAGATTGGCTTGATTGTACTTATTTAATCTGCATATTTAAATTTTTTTTTTCAATTGAGCACATAAGCACAAAATAACCTTGATTGATTAGGTACAAGTTTTTTTTTCTAAAAATGCAAATTGATTTGCTAATGGATTGAGGGTAACAATGATTTGCTACTGGATTGAGAATAATTATGATTTGCTACCACTTTGTATCGATAACAAATATAGAATCAGAATCATACTAAAAAGATAATAAATCATGATAAATCAATCAAATAAAAGTCTCAAGTGATTGATTGATTTGATTTGGAGATGAAGATTGATAGTAAGATTATTGGTACTTATTAAGCAAAAAATTTGACTTAAGTTACTAGTTTTGACAATGGAGATTGATCACTCGTTAATAGGGATGTCAATGGGGCGGGGCGGGACGGATGTTGCCTTTTCCATTCTCATTCCCACCTAAAATTTTCATCCCCATTCCCATCCCCGCGGCGGGTCTAAAATTCATCCCCATCCCCGCCCCGACGGATACAATTCCAAAACCATCCTTACCCGAACCCCCACTTGGATATCCACCCCCACCTAATCCTCACCTAAGACCCGCCTAATCCCCGCCTCCCGAATACACAATCCTTCATAATTAATAAAGATTGCAAAAAGAAAAATATTATTGTTAAATTACACATTTTTTTTGTTTATAATATAAGTGTATTACAAAGTATAATATTTACTATTTTATTTTACATAATTTTTTTAATATAAAATAGTATAAAAGTATATAATTTTGTTTTTAAAAATATACGGAAGTGGGGATGGGGCGGGTACAAAGTGGGGCAGGTGGGGATGGGGTGGGTACGAAGTGGGGTAGGTGGGGATGGGGCGGGTACGAAGCGGGACGGGGATGGGGCGGGTACAACCTAAAATCCACCCCCGCCCCATCACCCATGGTGGGTATGGTTTTTATCCCCATCCCCGCCCCACCACCCGCCAAACCAAGATCCATCCCCGCCCCAACGGGGATGGGGCGGGTCTCCTATTTGACCCGCCCCCGCCCCACTGACATTTCTACTCGTTAATACATACTTCGTATATGATGATGTAAATATTGATGTTTTGGTAGGGTGGTGGATGGTGCAATGATGTAGAATCATGCTTGGAGAGGGCTAGCACTCGTCGCGGTTCCTCACACTACATGGCTAAGGAAAGGGTCTTTCCTGGAATATTAAGCAACAAAGATTCCCACAACCCAGGTTCATATTTCTGTATTTTTATTTAACTTATTATTGCTTGCTTGCTCGGTTAATGAGGAATGCTAAGCTTATGTTATGCATTATTGATTAATTTCTGTCCCATGGGACTATATATTATAAGTATGTACAATGTACTCATTTAGGGGCCGTTTGATATGTATGGGGTAAGTTTCCATTAACTATGTTTGCCTTGGCCTAGTCCGAGATTGAAGGATTGGCCGAGATACTTGAGGGTTGAGATCTCTGACCTTTTCCCCTAACTACAAAAGGTAATTTTAAGCATTGTAATCCTATAATAGTAATAATAAGCCATATAAGTGAGGTTCCTTGCGAAGTGCTTGTTGAAAATCCTTCTTCAATTCGACTACGTGTGTTATGATCATGCCCCAATTCTACCCATTATATATATATATATATATATATATATATATGCTGAAAACAAGACTTAGGGTGAAAACTAAAAACAGATAATCTCAATCGTCCATTGTTACTAACAAGATCCGATGGCTTAAAAGCTTAATGATCTTTCCAACTTTATTTCCATTATTATTATATGTATACAATGGTTTAGAGTAAACTATATACTACCTTTGATTATTATTTGTTGTAATTTTTGCCATTTTTGGACGCTAACATTACTTGCAACTTTTCATTTTCTTTCTTTTTTGGCAGTTTTTTTTAGTGGAAATGACTATTTTGCCCTTAATTTAAAAACATAAATTATGATTACTATCCTAAACTGATCACATTACATTGTTAATTTTTTGGTTAACAATTAACCATTATTCATTCAAAATTTCTGCCAACCACTATCATAATGAACATCATCCAACTATGAAACTCTAAATTCATCATCGATTTTTTTAGTTCTTGAAATTTCGTTCCCCCTAGATTCATTTGAAAATCGTTCTTCATTTCGTTCTCCCGGAAAATTTCATTCTTCAATCGTTTTCCCTGTAATCGATTTGTGAGTTCCTGATATTCGTTTTCGCAAACTCTAAATTGTCTAGCCCCAAATTGGTTTACATGGATCTTCATCTCTCATTTCTGGGTTAGGGCTTTCTCTGGGTTTCGGGTTGGGGTTTCAAGAACAGGGAAGGTGGCCGGATGGGTGATCGGAGGAGGGGGCTGGGTGGGGTTTCTGGGTAAGAGTTGGCGTTTTCAGTGTCGCCGGGTGATTTTACGAGGAGGGGGTTGAGTTTGTTTGGGGAGGGATCGCCGAGGATGGCGGCTGAGGGTGGAGTTGCTAGTGAACAAAGGTGGTTGTGTGTTGGTGGTTATGGTCGGTAAATTAAGGGATGGGTGATAAGAGGAGGGGGCTGCCGGAATGCCATGGATGGAGGTGGAGGGGAAGAGGCCAAAATATTAATAGATTCTCTTTCCTCTTAATTAAAATGCACTAAGTGTGATTTAGAAATTTTGCCTAGGTTTCCGTAAATGCTTCCAAAGTTGCAACAAACCTTAACCGGAGATAGTACAAAAATAAGATAACTTTATCAATTTGACAATATTTATGTAAATATCACTATACATTAAAATAAGGTAACTATATCAATTTTGACAACATTCACATAAAAGTCACTATCTACAAAAATAATATAATTATATCAATTTTGACCACATTTACATTAAGGTCACTATATACAAAAATAGGGTAATTATATTAATTTTGATCATATTCTCATAGAAGTTACTATATACAAAAGTAGGGTAACTATATCAATTTTGCCCACATTTACATAAAGGTCACTATATACAAAGATAAGATAATTATATTAATTTTGATGGTAACCTCCAACCATAGACAAGCAATACCCAATCTGAGAGCCACTTGGATTCCATACCTTGCTACCACGGCTTCTGCATCCTCCATATTCCACCTTCTTGCCATATGTCGCTACAACAGCCCATACCTCTCCCTTCTCATTACAAGCAATAACACCAAGGCCCACATATTTGCTGCCCAAATGCGCATCCACATTCACCTTCGTGACACCCATACTAGGTTGAATCCATGCTACAGCCAAAAAGAAATCGGCTTACAAACACCTCTTAGCATAGATGCTAATCATCAACAAGCTTAGTAAAACCCACTGATGTTGAGCAGCAAATTTATAACATACAAAGTATTTTCCAATCAAAATCAACCAAATTCGCTTACTAATTAAAATCTATAATTAAAACGTAAATTCCTTGAATCTGATTACTCTTATCGTCAATTATTTTCCACATTACACTACAATTTTACCAATTTTCCAGATTATTGCATGCTTGGTGTTGAGCTAAAAGATGCACGTATGATAAATAATCTTCACTGAAATAACCTATAGTGATGCTAGGTATTGTTTTTAAGGGAAAAGGAAGCTTCTCTTTAACTAATTAATTGAAGTAACACCAAAGTACTTAAGAGTCGTCTATATCTCTGAAAATTGGCATGCATCTAAGCATGAGCAAAGTTAAACAACAAAACATAAAAGCAACAAGCCCAAACATAAAGTATCGAAAGCAATGAAAGTCCAAAGCAGAGCAAACGTAAAGTGATGCTAGGTAATTCAACTATCGATTAACAAATAGCACCACTAACACAATCGATTAACAACTAAAACCTAGATTATCATTATTCGACTGTATAAAACCCAGCAACTATCCAAATTCTACGATCAAAGATGCAAAATCGAGCTAAAATCACAAAAAAAAAAAAAAAAAAAAAAAAAAACCTAATTTACTCAATCAACAAAAATATACACAAATGTAGATCAAAGAATGCCATACAAAGAAATTAAATCAAATTTTGACATAATTACACTCGTATAAAACACGAATAAGCATGAAAAAGCTCAAATAAGTGCTACATACAACTCACAATTGAATTCATGACAAAAGAAAATCGACCCAAAATTACACAAAAAAAAACTTAATCTACTAAAATCAAGCAAAATCACACAAATGCAACTCAAAACTACTCCACCAAACTGATTCAAATAAAACTCAAAAAAATTCTAATCGAAAAATCTGTTTGATTTACAAAAAAACCATAGAATATACCAAATTAAACAAAATTCATAAACGAAAAACTCACTTTTTTGAAGCTAACGACGAAATTGATGAAGATTGAAGCAAATTCCTCAGTAATTTGTTGAATTTCAGCGTTTAATTTGAGTTGGAAAGGATAGAGAATGAGGGAGATGAAGGAGAGAGAAAAATAGAGTAAAAAATAAAAGAGAGATAATGGATAGTCCAAAATTAGGAAACAAAACCCACGATCATGATTAAATACATGCATAATCTAATCTAATCCGTTAGATGAGAATCCAATGATCTAGATCACCAATTTTTAGTTTTCAGCTTTTGACTTGTTTTCACATGATCCACTCTATATATATATATATATATATTGTTGTTAAAATTAGGTGTCTAAAACAAAAGCAATAATAAAACAAGAACAAAATAAGGGAAGGAAATTCGGTGTGGCGTGAATAATCACTGCCTTTGAAAACGAATTTCTTGTGCAACCGGGAAGCTCAATTGTATTCACCGGATCGTTTTCTAAGGTTACACACCACTCTCAGGCTAAGACACTTTAGAATGAGAGGTGGAGTCTATGCAAACTTATGCCCAAAGAAAGAACAATGTGTTCGGCTCAAAAATGTGTTTAGCTCTTGTGTTTACCATGTATATATGAGAGAGTATATATCAGAAAAATTCCGACTTCAAAATATATAGAAAGCAAGAGGGAAAATGAAAGATCAAAAGGAAGTGAAAAGATGGAAAATAATCAGTAATTAAAAGTGTTTTAATCATCATAAAACACCTCTTAAGTGGGAGGTTACAAATGGAAGAAGAAGAAGATTGGCTGCTCTCGCGCCCGGTTGGGCGATCATTCATTCATTTTCTAAGAGTCCTCTCGCGCCCGGTCGGGCGGCACTCGCCCGGCCGGGCGAACAACACTTGTTTTTACAAGTGTCCTCTCGCGCCCGGTCGGGCGACAGAACCTTAGAATTTTATGACTCTTCTCGCGCGTGGTCGGGCGCCCGGTCAGGTTATTTGGATTCCTTCCTTTACTCCAACAATCCCCCACTAAAGGAAGGAAGGAAAATCAACAAAGAAAAGAATGAACAACATATTAGGCATAAGAGGATTTTAATACATAACACTTAGATATTACATGAGTAATTTGAAATCTTAGTGTTTAGTGAAATGAGGCAATGAGCTACAAGTACAAGGGTGGATAAAACCTTGAAACCCTTAGACTCTTGATCATAGAGTGGATTGACCTTGAAACTCCAAGACTAACTCAAAAACCTCACAATACATACATCACTCCAAAATTTACATAGACTCCGCGAAAAGATATGCTCTTTTATAGCCAAGCATATTCACCTTAGGTCTAGTGGAAACTCTAGAAAACCGGCCAAGTTTTCATAGAAGATGGCTAGTCTTCACAACCACATAGGTGAGTCCTTAACAGCGCGTCTCAATAGCACAAGGACCCATTAAGTGTTTAAACAACTCGACCTAACAAATCAACATGCATTACAAACACCATCACCATAAGAACTAGGACAAGGTAATGCATCACATGGCCTTAAGTCCTATTCCCTTCGATGATTCTTCAACTTGTTTTCTTGCTAACCCTTTCGTCAAAGGATCAGCCAAGTTTTGTTCGGACCTTACATAGTCCAATGCTATGACTCCATTTTTGAGAAATTGCCTCACAACTTTATGTCTCATACGCATATATCTCTTTTTTCCGTTGTAGTTGTTATTATTGGCAACTCCAATGGCCGCTTGAGAATCACAATGTATGGACACTGGAAAAGAAAACTTCCCCCACAATGGAATGTTGGCTAGGAGACTCCTAAGCCACTCCGCTTCATGACCTGCCAACTCAAGAGCAATGAATTCAGATTCCATGGTGGAGCGAGCTAAACATGGTTGTTTTGAGGACTTCCATGAAATAGCTCCTCCACCCAAAACAAAAACATACCCACTAGTAGAGACAACCTCATCATTATCGGTTACCCAATTAGCATCTCAATAGCCTTCTAAGACATTAGGAAAGCGATTAAAATGCAAGCATACCTCCATGGTACCTTTGAGATACCTTAGAAGTCGACGAAGAGCAACCCAATGATCTTCACTTGGATTGTGAGTATATCTACTAAGCCTACTCACCGCATAGGCAATGTCGGGTCGAGTACAACCCTTGTTCTTTGCTAATTTGACATTGACATCATAAGGTACCTTGCTAGGAACAACATCAAAAGAATCAAACTTCTTCAAAATCTTTTCTACATAGTCAGATTGACTCATGGAAAAACCATTATCTGTTTTCTTTAATCGATTTCCAAGAATAACATCGGCTTCTCCCATGTCTTTCATTTCAAACTTAGTAGAGAGCATAACTTTGGCATCATTCACAATAGAAAGGTTAGTACCAACAACAAGCATATCATCAACATACAAGCGAATTATAACACAAGATGACCCAAACTCTTTAGAGTACAAACATGAATCCGATGAATTAACAACATAGCCATAACTCTTAAAAGTACTATCAAACTTCTCAAACCATTGCTTAGGAGCTTGCTTAAGACCATAAAGGGACTTTCTAAGCTTACACACTTTATGCTCTTGCCCTTTCACCCTAAACCCTTCCGGTTGAGTCATTTAGATTTCTTCATCAAGGTCTACATTAAGGAAAACCGTTTTAACATCCATTTGGTGAACCACTAAGTCATGAATTGCCGCAAGGGCTACCAAGGTTCTAATGGTGGCAATCTTAGTCACGGGAGAATAGGTGTCGAAGAATTCTATACCTTCCTTTGGGTGAAACCTCTAATGACAAGTCTAGCCTTAAACTTATCTATAGTCCCATCTGGTCTAAGTTTCTTCTTGAAAATCCACTTACAACTTATAGGTTTAGAACCCTTAGGCAAGTCACAAAGATCCTAAGTATGGTTGGACATAATAGAATCAAGTTCACTCTTAATGGCCTCTTTCCAAAAACTAGCATCTATAGACCTCATTGCCTCATCATAAGTCTTAGGGTCTTCTTCCAAGATAAACAAAGACACAACATGCTCATTCAAACAATTCACATCAAAGTCTTCTACTACAAAAGAAGCCAAAAAGTCCGGTCCAAAGAAAGACTCTAATCTAGGTCTCTTACTTCTCCTAGGTACAACTTCTACCACTTTGGTAGAGGAAGAGGGGAGACTAGAATTAGGCAAAGAGTCAACCGACGACACATTCACACTTGACTCACTAGCATGCATACCTACATTAGAAGAAGACTTGTTCAAAGGAAAAATATGCTAAAAAAATTCTGCATCTCTAGCTTCACAAGTCGATCTATCATTTAAAAGCATGAATCTATAGGCCGCACTATTATGAGCATAACCAATGAACACACAATCAAATGTTTTAGACCCGATGGTGGATTTTTTAAAATCCGGAAGGGCCACCTTAGCCAAGCAGCCCCACATTTTCAAAATTTTTAAATTTGAACTATAGCCCTTCCAAAGTTCATAGGGGGTTTTATCCAATTTTTTATGGGGCACTCTATTGAGAACATAACAAGCGGAAAGAACCGCCTCTCCCCATAAATTATTGGATAAACCGGAACTAAGAAGCATGACATTCATAGTCTCTTTTAAAGATTTATTTTTCCTTTCAGCAATAGCATTTGATTGGGGTGTGTAAGGTGGACTTGTTTCATGTATGATGCCATTGGCTTCATAAAAATCTTTTAAAGAATCTTTTTTATATTCACCACCTCTATCGGTCCTAACTCTTTTGATTTTTATATCCAATTGATTTTCAACTTCGGCTTTGTACATTAAAAATGCACTTTTGGATTCATCTTTTGTTTTAAGCAAATAAATTTGGGTATAGCGAGAAAAATCATCAGCAAAAGTAATATAATAATTTTTCCCACCCCTACTAGTGAAATTTTTAAAGTCCGCTAAATCCGAATGAATCAATTCAAGTAATTTTGTACTTCTTGAGACCACTTGCTTAAATGGTTTCTTAGTATGTTTGGCCTCAACACAAATTTGGCATTTGTCAAGTTCATCATCCATTGAAAAATTAATCAAATCCATGTCCTTTAACTTTTTCAAATAAGAAGAATTTAAATGTCCTAAACGATTGTGCCAAACATCCAAAGACTCAACAATATAAGCAAAAGAAGTACTTCCATTCTCATTCATGATATTCAAAACAAACAAACCATTATTGAGGTAACCTTTCCCAACAAAGTCTCCATTTTTAGACATTACAATCTTGTCGGCCTCAAAGACAAGTTTAAGGCCAGCTTTGTTGAGAAGGGCTCCCAAAACAAGATTTCTCCTAAGAGAGGGAACATACAACACATTATTCAAAAATAAAGTTTTTCCGGAGGTAAGTTTGAGATGGACCTTTCCTTTGCCAAGGACTCCGGCGGTACTACTATTGCCAATATAGACATGTTCGCCGTCAGAGACATCTTCAAACTCAATCATTAAGGCCTTGTTTGCACAAAAATGCCGTGATGCTCCGATGTCCAAAATCCACTCAGTTTTGTTCTCTACCAAGTTGGCTTCAACCACCACTGCAACAATGATGTCCTCCTTTTCAACGAGATTAACTTGGGAGGTAGAACCGTCTTTCTTGGCTCCATGCCTACGGGTGCATTGGTAGGCCTTGTGACCTATGACTCCACACACATAGCACGTTTCCTTCGTTTTTTGGATTTTGTTGTTATGAGTGAAATTGACTTTAGACTTGTTGCTTCCCTTTTTCTTGGAGAATTTCCTGTTTTTAGAAACATTCAAAGAAGACTCAACAAGGTGAGCCTTGGAAGAACTAAGAGACAAAGTTTCGAACTTATCCTCGAGGCGATTGGCCTCTTCGGTTCTCATGTGGCTGATAAGTTCTTGGAGGGTCATGTCCTTCTTCTTGTGCTTCAATAGATTTCGGTAGTCATTCCAAGAAGGAGGGAGTTGCTCCAAAAGAACATTGTCTCGGAGAGTCTCACACATCTTCATGCCTTCACCAAGGATTTCGGTTACCAAATTCTCGTAGTCATGGACTTGAGACATGATCGGTTTCTCATCATTCATCTTAAAATTGATCCACTTGCCCACCACGTATTTCTTTTTACCGGCATCATCCGATCCATATTTCTTCTCCAAAGAGTCCCATATTATCTTGCTTGACCTGAAATTGACAAACAAAGTATTATTCATGTGGTTGAGGAGATGGCCACGAACAAGCTTGTTGTCCTTCTCCTTCTTTTTCAAAGCTTCCGTTATGGCCGCCATGATTGCCTCAGTAGAGGTCTTGGCAGCTTCTTCCGCATTCTTAAGGGTCTTAATGACATCTTCATTCAACACATAGTCAACTTCCAACTGTTCAAAAAAGATTAGCAACTTTTGCGACCACCTCTTATAGTTGTTACCATCAAGCAGTTCCAACTTAGGGAGGTCGGGAAGAGTCTTGTTCAAAATGCTATTAGCAATAGACATGATTCGTTTTCAAAACTGTTGTTAAAATTAAGTGTCTAAAACAAAAGCAATAATAAAACAAGAACAAAATAAGGGAAGGAAATTCGGTGTGGCGTGAATAATCACTGCCTTTGAAAACGAATTCCGGTGCAACCGGGGTGCTCAATTGTATTCACCGGATCGTTCCCTAAGGTTACACACCACTCTCACACTAAGACACTTTAGAATGAGAGGTGGAGCCTATGCAAACTTATCCCCAAAGAAAGAACAATGTGTTTGACTCAAAAATGTGTTAAGCTCTTGTGTTTAGCATGTATATATGAGAGGGTATACATCAGAAAAATTCTAACTTCAAAATATATAGAAAGCAAGAGGGAAAATGAAAGATCAAAAGGAAGTGAAAAGATGGAAAATAATCAGTAATTAAAAGTGTTTTAATAATCATAAAACACCTCTTAAGTGGGAGGTTACAAATGGAAGAGGAAGAAGAAAAAGAATCCAAGGAAGGCAACCTAACAGCCGAATCTCGCGCCCGGTCGGGCGAGCATCAGCCAAAAGATTGGCTGCTCTTGCGCCCGGTCGGGCGAACATTCATTCATTTTCTAAGAGTCTTCTCGCGCTCGGTCGGGCGGCACTCGCCCGGCTGGGCGAACAACACTTGTTTTCACAAGTGTCCTCTCGCGCCCGGTCGGGCGACGGAACCTTAGAATTTTACGACTCTTCTCGCGCCTGGTCGGGCGCCCGGGTCAGGTTATTTGGATTCCTTCCTTTACTCCAACATAGAAATGAGAATATGAAAAAGCCAGTTAAAAACTGACGGAAGTGGGACCTGTGCCAACTTTTAAGTGGTTTTCTCATATTCTCATTCTCATTCTAGCAATTTCCTATATATATATATATATTGCAAGATTAGTAACTAAATGAACAATGTGGAAACATATCTTGATTCGGCCCATAGGAATGAGCTTTTCATCAATTGTGAGCATTGTGACTAAAAGCAAAGATGTGAAAGTGATTTATTCTTAGACATGTCATTTTTGTTTTTGCAATTGTAATTCAAAATATGCTTCAAATAATGTCAAGAACAGACTTCTACAATTGGAACCGCATTTTGCTAAGATACTGTGATGGAGCTTCCTTTGCTGGCAATTCCAAGTATGAAGATGGGGTAAATGACTAAATGTATTTCAGCCTGATTTCTTTTCAGATCTCACAATTACTGCTACTGATTTTCTTTTCTTTCTGTCTAACTTGTGCACGTTTATTGACATTATTGGACAGACCAAATCGCTTTACTTCAGAGGGCAAAAAATTTGGCAAGCAATGATTTCTGATCTTCTTCCACAAGGGCTCGCACATGCAGAGAAGGTAGATTGCTGAGATAAAATTATAAGATTAACTGTCAAAATCTTTTTGGTTGTGAAAATGATAGGTATATGACATAGACGCGTACTCTGATCTACACTCTGCAGGCTTTGCTTTCTGGGGACTCAGCAGGGGGTTTAGCAGTGTTTCTACACTGCGACAACTTCTCCAGGTCTCTACCAGGAAACGCTACTGTCAAATGTATCAGTGACGCCGGTTTATTCTTAGACATGTGAGTTCATCTTATTTACTCATGTCCTGTATATTTTAGCCTTCTTTTCCCCTGCCATATTTTTTTTTTTTTTTTTTTTTTTTTTTTTTTTTTTTTCAGATTTCAGATGATTGTCTTTTCTCTTGCAGAAAAGATGTAGGCTATAACGAAACAATTAGGTCCTTATACCATGACGTCGTTTCTCTTCAAGGAGTTGAACAGAATCTGAACCAAGAGTGCACCAGTTCTCAAAGCGATCCTAAGCAAGTACGATTTTACTAACTGCTTGAAAGTTGAAATATTCACATAATAATTAACTAGTTTTCGATCACATTATTACAAGGTTCTGATCTGATATGGCTCAATTTGTTTTACCAGTGCTTCTTTCCACAGTATCTTCTGAGTTACATCAAGACTCCGTTGTTCATTTTAAACTCTGCATATGATACGTGGCAGGTACTTTTACATTTCTTAGCTTCTGTATAACTGTATCATTTTGGTAAATTCATTGAACTTAATATTTCGAAAAGGTTTTAAGGGATTGATTATATACAGTTTCACAACATCCTGGTGCCATCTTTAGCTGATCGGAAAGGAAAATGGAATAATTGCAAGAAAAATGTAACTTCTTGCACTGACAGTCAAATTCAGATACTACAAGGTATAAACCAAAGTGCTAAATCTGTAGGTTATGATGCAAAAATCAGCCAATCATGGACCTGAAATTTTCTGAGCCCGTGTTTCAGATTTTCGACAGAAAATGCTCGAGGCTACATACTCTTTCTATACACATTCAAAAAGGGGAGGAATGTTTATAAATTCATGCTTTGCACATGGCCAAAGTGAATATCAGGAAACTTGGTTTGACATCGACTCCCCTAGAGTCCAAAACAAGGTACTTCTTCGTCATGGTTTTTTCTTACATATGATTCCTGTTAGTAATTAAGTACATTGTTTCACTAATACAGCAGCATTGTCGCTATATGTATCTACTCCTTTTTCATTCTGTCACGGCACATGTATATACCAAGGATCATACCACCTAGAACTAAGCTCCAAATCCAGATTAGCCCAAAGGATGAACCAGGTAGAAACACACAAAAAAACAACAAACGAAAAAAAAAAAAAAAAAAAAAAAAAAAAACATACCAAAGATCATGCCATATATATTAGCAATGTTGTTTAGTATATGATTTTGCATGTTTAATTCGCATTTGTTGGGATTTCTAAATTTATCCTTGATGATCAACTAGTAATAATACTATGTGTATCCTGCAGACTGTTGCAGAAGCTGTTGGTGATTGGTATTTCGAACGAAACGTGACAAAGTTGATCGAGTGTCCATATCCTTGTAGTGCTTCCTGTTATCATTCTGTACCAGCAGCATAGACCAAGATTTTTACTCGGTGAATTATCATAGCATTTGGAGAAAATCTATACCTGAGGATTTATAAACTTGTATGTACCTGGATTATTTGATGTTCAATCACAAGTTTCTGATCACTTTTGTACTTCATTATTACTAAAATTGGAGTAAATTCTGCTGATATGATACTATGATAGTTAAATTTTGATCAAAGGGTAGAGCAGCAACTTAAACAATCCAACTTCTTAAGCAACTTTGAGACCATATATGCCATATTACCATACAACACCTTAAGCCACGTTTAGTTCAACTTATTTTACTTATTTTTACGGAATAGATTAATGAGAAATTGCCAGTTGTAGCTTGTTGTAGAGCTTCAAATGCGGTTGATTACACTAAATTAAGGGATGTTTGGTTGGCGTATTTAGGATGAGTAAGGAAAATTAGTGTATCACACACAAGTAATCAAGTAGGGCAGTAGGGATGAACAATGGTTTTGAGTACCCGGTTTTAGTATTGAAACCGGTTTAGGACGTGTTCAGATAAGTTAAAATTCCAATAAGTTTAATAACTTCCAACAAGTTTTAATAAGAATAGTTCCAATCAAACCTAATACAATTATATTAAATTCAAATTTTCTATTAATAAAATAATATATAATACTCATATTAATTGTATCATTATACTCTATAGTTATTTTAGTACGGAGTATTGCAATATTATTTTTTTACTTTGTATAGGTTCACACTAGCCCGAAGTAACATATCATTAACATTGCAAAATCATGCTTATAAAACTTAAATTAGCCCAATGTCTATACATGTATAAAAATAGGATATTTTTGTTAAAAACTACCTAATAAAACATAAATTTTGTGAAAAACAATCTATTAAAAAAAAATGCTACTACTCTCTCTATTTTTTTTAATACTTGCTCCATTTCTTCGTGCGCGGAGTTTTAGGAGAAATTGAAGAAAATAATAAAATATGGAAGTAGTGAGGTAGGGAGAAGAATAAAAAATAGTAAAAAACAAAAGTAGTTGAGAGAATTGGAGGAGAGAGAATATGAAATTAATAAAATATGTTTAATGTTGGGTCCACTAGGTGAGAGAAATGAATTAAATATTGTAAAAGATTTCCAAATAAGGAAATGGAGCAAGTATTTAAAAACGGCCGAAAAAGGAAGGTGGAGCAAGTATTTAAAAACGGAGGGAGTATCTACTAAAGGTAAAATGTTGTAAGATAGTACCTTTGGCCGAATTTGTACCGTTGACCTAAGTTTATGGCGTTGACCTACCTCATAACACCCCCGAATCCACCGCGCATGTTGGTTTTCAAGGTGGTAAGGTTATATTCGGGATGGCTATTGCAGGATATTCCGAGTTGGCACGGTTGGTTTCGTACTTCGAGATGGAGGTTTTGGGAGTTGGAGGTGGTGGTTTTGAAGTTGGAGGGTGGTTTCAGCGCGGTGGAGGCAATTTCAAGCAAGCTGTATTGGTTTTGGAGATGAAAGCAGTGGTTTCGAGGTGGGTCAGCGATGGAAATCCGGCAAAGCTAGTAATTTACAACATTTTACCGTAAGTAGTTTCTTACAACATTTATCTTTTATTGGGCAGTTTCTAACGACATTTTTTTTATTTAGTAATTTCACACTAATTTGGGGTTTTATTAGATAGTTTATGACAAAAATTCAATAAAAATATTACATTGATCTATAATACTCCGACTTCTTTCAATTCAGTCAAATAAGATTAGCACATTAATCTTCCAAAGTTCCAATAGTATAACTTCTACAATTGTAGAATTATACTAATTAAAGTCCTATTCATTTAACCTTATTTTTGCTGAACTAAAATTATTTTTAGTGAATTGAAAATATTTTTACTGAACTAAAAAATATGTTTACTGATTTTCTATTATAAATCTTCATTAAAGTTACTGTTATTTATTAAACAAAAATTAGTTTTACTAAACTAAAATTCTTATTATTATTTCTACTAAACTAAACTTAATTTTGCTGAATTGAAATTATTTTTACTAAATATTTTCTTAAGGTGAAATAAACAGGACCTTACAGACCTATATTCTTAATAGAAGTAATACACATATCATTAAGTTCGATTGATCACGAAAATTTCAGCTAAGGCCCTATTCAGTTCACCTTACAAAAAAAATATTTAGCAGAAATAATTTCAGTTCAATAAAAATAAGTTCAGTTCAGTAAAAATGAGTTCAGTTCAGTAAAATTAATTTCAGTTCAGTAAAAATAATTCCAATTAATAAAATTCAGCAACTCTAAAGAAGAAATATAAAAGAGAATCAGTAAAAATAATTTCAGTTCAGCAAATTTAATTTCAGTAAAAATAATTTCAATTCTAGTAAAAATAATTTAAGTTCAGCAAAAATAATTTCAATTCAGTAAAATAAATTCAGTTCAGCAAAAATAAGGTGAAGTGAATGGGGCCTAAATAGACTAGAGATCGATCAAAATCGGAACTAGATTAAATGGGTTTTTACACTACATATCCTCCAAATTGTTCTCCATATCCCTCATTACATAACCAATGAATCAAACAAACATTGCAAATCCTAAATTCTTAACGACCTATTTTTTCCTAATCCTAAAAATTATAACTAATCAAACTCAATTTCAGACATTATTAACAGTATATATATCGAAGAACTCTCAAAGAGAAAGACTCAAGTCCACGACATCAAATTCTTCAACTTCAGCACTACTTCCACTCTCACACGACGTCGTTCCTGACATTTCCAACTCCAAACACCGCGATTTCTTGCGTTTCATTCTGTCCATCCGTGGAGAAACCACCCTAGAAGTAGTAGTCGTCAGCCATAGATCAAGATCCAATGATAAATCGCCCTCCACGTCACCAAAACTCCTGCTCGACAAGTTAAGTTGCAATTCAGAGTCCTCGCCGGAATTAGAATTCTCCGGCGAAAACCTGGTGATAAACTCCGGTAGTGGTTTCAAAACCCCACCTTTGAGTACAATGTCAACTGCTGACTCGCAAAGATTCCATTTGCCGGTAAACAGTAACCCTATGACGCCGGAAACCGGGTTTATTGTTCGATCGCAGGCCTCGTACAATAAAGACCGGAACACAACTGAAAAACACGTAGAATTATTAATTACGGAGTACAACTTAGTACAATATATAATACACGAACTGTGCGAGGAATGTATTACAGCGCATAATTTATTCAATGATTTTAGCTTTGATGAGAAACCTGATTTTAATTAATGTATTTGTTAATTTAGATTTCACCTCGAGATGTCCTACGACAATAATTATATACCTGGATGTAGGGCAGGAGGAGCAGATTCGAGGAGGTAAAAAAGGGAGGAACGGCCGAAGAACTTGGAGACGAAGACAGTGGCATTACACTGAGAATAAGGAGAGTCGATAAAAGTGAGAGATTGACGGAGGAGGCAATTTTCGCCGCAACCCTTTCGCAATACTCGACATCCGTTGCAACTACTCGAAATCATTGTTGTATTTCGTCTGCCGTAATATTTCTTGCTTTATTAATATTTGAATGAAGAATAATGTAGAAGATTATTAAGTGTAATAAAGTGAGTATATATATAATAGAATTGGGGATTTTAGATTAGTGAAGTTTGGAAATTTTAAGGATTATTGGAGAAGAAAGTTGATGGAATATGTTGTAGAATAGAAATATGGAAAGTTTGGTTGAAAGCGAATAAAAAGGAGTTCCCAAATATTTGCTTGGGAAGCAAGGATATAGGAGGATGTCAATGACTAGTTAAATCGATTAAATGTTGTAAGCTTGGGTGAGGTGAAGTTGCGTGAGTAGTAAGACTCAATAGCCTTAGAGTATCCAAAAAAATTAATTTAGATTAATGGATTGATTAATTAAGGAAAACTGTAATCACTAAGCGAAAAATGGCCTTTAGCACCAGTTCAAACCCCCCATTGTGCACCGGTTTTGAACCGGTCCAGATTTGAGGGATGCCAAATCTCTGAAGATTTCGCACCGGTTCAAAAACCAATGGCAATTCAAAGATTTAGCACCAATTAACCGGTGCTAAAAGGTCATGGCACGTTTTTTGTTTTTCAATACAATTGGCACCGGTTTGAAGCCTGAACCGGTGCCTTTAGCTGTGTTTTTTTTTTTCGGCAATAAATAATAATATTAATACTAATAATAATAATAATAAACAACCTGTACATCCTGCATTAATAATTCTACCATTATTATAATATATTATAATAACAATAATAATAATAATAATAATAATAATAATAATAATTTCTAAATTGAAATAATAAAAAAAATACATAGATATTAATTAATAATCCCAAATGCAATACAATGAAGGGTCATATATATTTACAATTCCTCAAAAAAAAAAAGTTTCATATGTACAAACAATACTTGAGGAGCTCGACAGTTTATCTTCAAAAAAATCACAATATCATGTGGCATTACCATCGGTGATTTCCATGTGGGACCTTGAGGAGCTCGACAGTTTATCTTCTTCATAACACTGTAGAAAAGTAAGTTCAAATTTGATTAGTATGACTAATAAATGAGTTAGGTAATGATAATCAACACTAGGTAGCTTTATTTACTTTTGCAGTATGGACTTCACGAGGAGCTTTTTTGGATGAGGCAATCGAGCTGAATTAAAAAGGAAGATTGTGTTACTGGAAACACAAATCACCAGCAGGGTCCAATGCAAACTACATAAATTCACGATAGACAAACAAATCAATAATTAGCCATGTACAACATATAATCAGGGGAAACAAATGAATTTGACATGGTTAGACGTACTCCTCATAACATGGGGCGAATATGAACTTGTCTCCCGCACGCATTGATTCCTTGATACTCCGTTCAACATAGTACAACACGTTAGGGTGGTTGCCTAAGATTCTAGTAGTGGAGATCTGTTCGAGGCATAACCACCCAACTTGATACGGAGAATCAATGTCACATAAGTGCTTCTGTAGTGCTCTGCATGCATGATAATAGAATATTAATGGAAAAATAACCGACAATCACCACTAATCTGAATAACATAATTTGAGCGCCATTGAATTACCTCATGAATGTTTGAATGAGGGAAATGTTAAGCATTGAATTACTTAGAAATTCCTTCACATCTTCTTTGTTGAGCCATGCAATTGCATCGTCATCATAGTGGAACAATGCCTTAGGTAGTGCAACTTCAATGAGAGTGTCACTAGGCAACATACTAACACGGTTGTGTAGATAAGTTAAATCTTTAGAGAGAGATTGAATGACCGTGTCTGCAACAAATGGAGTAGCTTGCATAGCTGAACCTCTCGAAAAGTTCTTCTTCGACGCTTTTTCACTCTCCGATCGTTGTTCACTCCTCTTCTTTGGCACCGGTTGATCAATGCTTTTAGGCTGCTCCACCCTCCTTCTTTTTGAAGTTTGGCTTTTCTTCGAAATCTGATAAAGCAAATCACACAATTGGTTAGAAAATAAATCCATCCAACTCTTGGGAAGACAACCGGGCATAGAGTAAAGAGTGAACCCAAAATCTTACCTCGTTGATCAACCTTACCCAAGCACATGGCCATTGCACAAAGCTACCTTTTGCTTCCCAGAGTGTAGTAATCCCATCCTCCTCTACGGGCACCAGTACTAGGATGTACTCGAACCCCGCAACCACAGAATTGATCCCGACCGAGTAATGTTGTGGCCTAAGCGGTCGCAAATGGACCGTACCACTGGTCAATTGTGCACTAGCATACGCAACCAAACGCAAAGCTCCATTGTTTGATAGCCCCGGGTGTAGAAGTGCACAACGGGTCTCTTCCTACACCAATTTGGAAGATCACTTATAAGAACCAAACATATCACAAGTGGCCAAGCATCCACCAACATTAAAACAAAACCGAAAACAAAATACAAAAAACTTTTCTATTTAACACCACAGCACCGAACTCAGCTACACAAATAAGCAAACAGAAACTGAAAACACATTCAAACAGAAAACAATAGCACAGAAAACAGCAACACAACAGCCAACAACACAGAAAACAACAACCTGCAAACAGCAACACAGAAAACAGTAACATACACAGCAACATAGAAACACCAGCCAGCACACAGCGACACAGCAACATAGAAAACAACACAACAATAGCACAGTAGCACAACAACAACAACAATAACATCACAGCAGCAGCAACAGCAACAGCAACAGCACAACAGCACAGCAACAGCAAAGTAGCACAGCAACAACAACAGCAACAACACAACAACAAGCACACAAACAACCATCACAACAACAGAACACAGCTGCTTCTATTAAGCTGTTGTCTACTGTGAGGTTGTTTCTGTTGAGCTGTGCAGGTCCTCAATTCTGTTAAGTTGTTGTCTGCTGTGAGGCTGCTATCCTGTATTGCTGGGAGCTTCTAGTGTTGCTGCAGGTCTGACTTATCTTGTTCTCTGGTCACAATCAGCAGAGAGAAGCAGATAGAAGCAGAGCAACTCCAAGGTAGACACATCAGGCAGCACAAAGTAGCACTGAAAACCGCAACAGAACCTTGACAAACCCAAACAACTCAGCTGCCAACAGAAAACAGAGGTGCATATCACAACACTCAAACAACCAAGAAAGCAGCAACACAAAAACGAAGGCAACAGCTGACTCCATCCAGACAAAGACACAATAAAGCAAACTTCACCAGATCAAAGCATAAACAAAGAACCAACAACACCATCTAGACAAAGAACTACACAAAACCACCTGTAAATCTGGAAATTCATGAGGTGCTGGATTATCAAGCTCCCTCGAGTCCGCATGTGTAGGAGTACCAACCTACAACAGTAAATTAATAATGCCACCTTAGATCCCACATAACTCAACATGCCAAAACTAATAGATTTGAAACTACATTTATCTCATCGTCTCGATGTATCTCATCTTTTCCTTGTCCTTGTGGGTGACTACATGAGTCGACCGGTGTAGTCGAGGGGAACGACAAGCTCGGTAAGTTCATTTGCTTCACCCAAGAATTGAATTCACTTACGATCTCGTTGCGCACTTGTTCTTTAATTGATGCCACCGTGGCATCCAAGTCATGCGGTGAGTTTACACTTGCTTAAGATTTTCCTGATTTGGTATATTCTGGACCCATCACCTTTTCCCATCCTAGAAATGTCCCCCCCGCACCAAATACCCATCCTGGATGGTAGGGCTTTCCCAAAGCCAAGGTGAAAGGGTCTTTTTCTACAGTTGGGACGAGCTTGCCTTCAACCAGTTCCTCTGTGTACTCAAGCTGTAGCAAAAACAAAAAGACAACATGAATATAGTTAATGTTTTTGTAAAGTGATATTTATGCAAAATCTTCATAAAGTTCACAAGTTCATAGTTTCTTACAAGTTTATCTGCCATTTCTTTGGTTTCCGGAGCCTTGATGACCCATTTTCCGGTTTCCTTGTCACGCACATGCAGAGAACAAATGAAATCGCCAGCACGACTCACCAATGTAGTGATCATGGAATCAGAGGGTTCTTTGGAGGACCCTAGAAGCGCAGTGGGGTATACTCCCTCCTTGACCCACGTTTCCCTCCATTCACCAAATATCTTACACCCCATACGATGGGTGTATTGCCTCTGTAATGCATTTTTGGAATTTTGCTCCCTTAGTTCCTACATAATTAGAAATGTAAGTATCATTACTTCAAAAAGAGTTAATATATTACACAATTGTCATCAGATTTACTTAAACTTACAATTGCTTCCTTTTTACTTTTTTGAAGAACGAAAGCTTCCCAATCATCCTTCGATACGCTTGGCCATTTTTTCCATGGGGGTTGCTCTTCCTCGATGACTTCATCATCATTGCCACCTCCTTTCTTCTTCTTTGGTTTTCTCACAACTGTCTTTGTGATCCACCCAGAAACCAAGGTGGTCTTGAAGCCTCTGAATCTTTCCGCTAGTAAAGATTCAAACACCCTTCGCTTGGCGGCATCATTAGGAATATTAAACAGACTCTGCAAGCACAAATAAAAGCGATTATTAGTTTCCCCTTTTAAATAACAATAAAGTGAAGGTATTTAAAATTGTGTAAATGTGCAAACAAAAAACTTGCCCTTGTATCATTCCAAAATGTGTCAATCAAGCCTGGAGATACTTCCCGCCAACCAAGTGTAATGGGGATTTTGCGCGAACAAATGCCAACATGAACAACATATTGACGACGCCATTTGCCTGTAGGTTGGCTTGCCTTGTCATACTCCGGGACCATGGGACCGACAGGTTTCTTGAAACTTGTCATCGGGCCCCTCACCTTTTTCTTAGCCGGTTCCTTCACCCCCCCGCTCCACTTTATCCTTGGCTTTGAGTGTGGGAAGTAGGATTCTCACCAACCATCTCAGAAACTGCATTTTCAATAGGAGGCGCTTGTTTAGCTGAAATTTCAAATTCATCAATCCTACGCTCCAACACATCCCGAGCCTGATCTTTAGCCTCACCCAAATCAG